AGAGAGAGAGAGAGAGAGAGAGAGAGAGAGAGAGAAGAGAGAGAGAGAGAGAGGGCGTAAGGGCGGTGGCAGCGGCGCTCACCGTTGTCGTTGCGGCCGCAAGTTTGCGCCAGGCCCGACGTCGAGTCGGGACGAGTGCCAGTCGCCCGTCTAGGCGTTCGGTGCCTCCGAAACCCTGCCACGGACGACCGAAGGTCCGAGGGTCGGCCGACACGCTGGTGAACACTGTTGCCTTGTGTTTCCTATTGCAGCGTGCCTCCGATGGACTGGAAACGGACCCATATCTGGCCGCTATCGCAATTTTCCCTTAATTTTTTTTTTGTTTTCTCTGGGAAATTCCTCGATTGCCGAGCCTCGGGTACATCCGAAGTCTGCGGGGAAAATGGAAAAACTGCTAGTTTTCCCTAATTTCCCAACACTGGCAGAGGTACTACGGTAGTGGTTTAATTGCTTTCTGAAAAAAAAAAAAAAAAAAAAAAAAAAAAAAAAAACATGCTACCCTAATGGTTGCGTCCCTGCTTTTTAGGCGGTATAGCAGTTGGAGCGATACAGAGAATTTTTTTTTTTTTTTTTTTTTTTTGATACAGAGAAAATTAGCATGGCATGGCCAAGTGCTACTTCCCGCTGTTGAACGCCAGAATCCCACCGGAAACGGCGGAACTGCTGACCCAGTCTGGGATAAGATGGTACCATATGTCGACTGTCAGAGAGAGGAATATGCACAAACTGCAAAACATCAATATTATCCCAGGTATCACGGGGGCGATCCTTTTGAACCTCAGTGAGAAGTTGGATGACGAGGAGGGGTTACAATCAAATTTCATGGTAAACAGCTTGAGTAAGGAGTGGGGAGAAGGATTCAGGGTCAGCTCATCCAGGTGCAGTTCGAGAGGAAGCTCTAGAAGTATCAACAGAACTGCACCTGGCAGGTCGGAGGAGGACGGAAAATCGCAACCTGCTACAATCTGCATCCAACAGCAAGCAGAGGATATCATAGCGGATGGATAGAGTAAGAGTAGCTACGTGGAACGTGCGAGGGATGGGGGATACTGGAGGAAGGGAAAAAAGGAGAAGGGTGAAGAGTTGGGTCCATGAATGGGGCATCAAATGCTTGATGATTCAAGAAACCAAGTTAAACGAAGAGAAACTGAAGGAGCTGGGTGCATGGTGGGACGAACCACAAGTATGGGCCCCGACACAAGGCTCAAGAGGGGGCGTTGGGATTCTTCTTCACAGGGATCTGTCGGAAAAGATTTTGGAAACAGAAGCGGATATTTGGGGCAAATGGGCCTGGGTAAGGCTGGAGGTGGGATCTGAAAAGTGGCTGCTGATGACGATTTATGCGCCGATGCAGGTGGGGGATAGAGCAAGCTTTTTCAAAAAGTTGATAAGAAACATGCCAAAGGTGGAGAAAGTCGTGGTGGGGGGGGACCGGAATCTATCGCTGGATGAGGCCCTGCGCCCGGGTTCAAGATACGCAGACAGGCAGGATGCGAGGGCCCTGTTGGAAACCACGGAAGAACTGGCCTTGTCAGACCCATTAAGGAGGCTATCACCGGAAGAAGCAGGGTACACATGGACCTCGCACATACAAAGTGGAAGACAGACGGTGACGAGACGCAGGCTGGATTATTTTTTGGTGGGGGACACAGTGCTGGAAGGGGTGTTGGCGGTGCAGCAGGTGGCCAATCCGATGTCGGACCATAAACCGGTGATAGCAAGCATTAAACTGCAGGCGGGGGTGGAAAGAGGAAAGGGTTTTTTCAGACTCAACTCGCAGAACTTGGAGGACCCAGGGATCACGGAATGGATTAAGCGGCATTGGGCCAGTTGGGAACTGATGCGTCAGCACTTCGAAACAACGGCGGAATGGCTGGACAGTGGCATTAACATCGTATCAAAAGTCTTTGACGTCAGTTCGAGAATTCTGGCGAAGACCAGGAACAAGAAAGAAGTGGAATGCAGACGGAGGGTCGAGGAGGCGGAAGAAAAGATGGAGGGTCATCCAATCTCAGTCCTTATATGGGCAACAGAGAGAGAAAAGAGACTTGCAGAATGGGACAAGATCCAAGAAGAAAAGGAGAAGAGATGGAAGGGAGTGCTGGAGGAGAAAGGAATTATGGTGCATGACAAGATGACGAAAGAGACATTTCAGAAGCTGCAGCCGAGAATAACACAGCTACAAATGGTGGAACTAAAACATCCGCTGGATGTCTCAGCGCCGACAGCATCTACAACAGTAGGGATGTTGGAGTACGCAAAAGTCTACTATGAAGACATCTTAACGATGCGGAGACCACAGGATAACACAGACACCGACCTTACAAGAGTCTCGGACATGTAGACAGACACTCATGTCAAGCTCCAAGTACAGGCCAAACTGGACCTGGACAGACCAATGACAGTAGAAGAGACAAGGCAGACATTGCGTAGCATGGCGAAAGGGAAGTCGCCGGATATTGATGGCCTCACAGTGGAGTTCTACATCAAGAACTGGACGACGATTGGCCCAGCACAGGTGGAGGTGTACAATCAGGTGTTGGTGGGAGGCAAGCTAGGAGCAACAATGACGCATGGGGTTATCACACTGCTATTCAAAAAGGGAGACAAGGCGGAAGTTAAAAATTGGAGGCCAATCTCCCTTTTGAATGTTTCGTACAAAGTGCTAGCGAAGACCCTGGCGAGGAGAATGGCTCGATACCTGCCGGATCTAATTGGAGGAGACCAGGGGGCTTTCGTACAAGGACGCTCCATATTCAACAACATTATCACTGCCATCGAAGTCTTAGAAGTGGTACAATCGGAAAACAGGGATACAACGGTACTCCTTCTCGATTTGGAGAAGGCACACGACAAGGTCGGTTGGACGTTTGTGCTCACAACATTGAGACACATCGGGTTTGGGGATGGTTTCTGTAGTTGGATGATTGCAATGTACACCTACTCTACTTCATCAGTGGCAGTTAATGGCCATCTGTCAGCACCATTCAAGCTCACTCGTTCTCTCAGACAGGGCTGTCCACTAGCGCCCCTTCTGTTTGTATTACAGATGGAAGTCCTATTGAACAGGATTAGAAGACACCCTGACATAAGAGGCTTACAGCCGCATGGCCACGCAGAATGCACAGTAAAGGCGCTGGCAGATGACCTTTTCGTAGTCTGCGAGGACTTAGTCTCGGCACTCACAACTCTGAAGGGAACTCTGGCGGAGTACTCCACACTCTCGGAAGCATCAGTTAACTGGCAGAAGTCTACTTACCTTCTCCCTAAGGAGTACCACCTAAAGGTAGAATGGGGTATGAGGAGAGTGGAAGAAGGGGAGGAGGAGAGGTTCTTGGGAGTGTTAATCAGCCTGCAGGTCCAGGGATCTACACAGGGGGTAGTACTACAACAAAGAATCGCCGCATGGTTAAACATGTGGAGTCGAACATGGCATCTGTCAATCACAGGCAGGACACTGGTGGCAAATATGTCACTGTTATCCATCCTCTGGTTCGTGAGCCAAGTGAGGGAACTAGCCAGCGGAGTACTGGCAGTTGTGCGCAGGCTGGTGGCCAAATTTTTGTGGAAACCAACAGCCAAGCAGTCAGAAGGGTTTCTGGTGAAAGTAGCGTGGGAAACACTGACCTTCCCGAAGGAGAAAGGGGGACTCGGACTGCTGGATCCAGAGTGCAGAAACCAAGTGCAACTGCGGATGTGGTTAAGTAAAGCAGCAGTGGCTGACACAAAAGAGCACTGGATACTACTGGCGGAGAGGCTGTTGATGGCAGAATGGGAGATGACCCGCCCGAAGGATGTGTGGGCGTGCTTTTTCATGGAATCCTTTTGCAAAAAAAGGCTGAAATCCGGTTTTTGGGAAGGAGTGCGAAAGGCATGGAAAAAACAGACTCCGGAAACCCGAGAGAAGCCACGGACAAAAGAGGAAGTACTGGCACAGATACTGTTCGACAATCCGCACATAACCCACCAAGATGGGACCCCGCTTGCAGCAGATGGGTCAACTGCTACGTTTGGTCTTGCATGGGTTCGCAGAGGAGTAACAAGAGTAAGAGACTTATGGTCCATGGTGCTGGGAGGCTGGAAACCGCTGGCGGAGGTGAAACAGAAACTGAGTGGGCTCCACAGGGTAGAAGAGAACTGGAGACGGGTGATTGGAGCCATTCCGGTAGAATGGCTGGAACTGCTAGGACCGGAAGGGGTGGATCCGCCAGGTACGTGGTACCTGGCACCACAGGAAGGAGAAATGGCAGTCGTCTGGAAAGTACAGGGTATTGATCCGAGCGGGTTCAGACGGGTAGAGCAGTGGAAAACAGTAAACCACGCTAACTTATTGGAGAAAGTGGGGGAGGACGTAATCATGGGTTGGAACAACCCACCACAGGTGAGAGTGGTGGAAGCAATAGGCTGTGGGCCGAGAACCAGGAGGCTCACATGGATAGGCAGAGTGCCACTAAGAGAACTCAACATTGACCCAGTGGCATGGGCCTGGAACAGAGAGCCAGAAGGATATAAGGACCTGTCGCTGTATGATTACTCGGCAAAAACAGGGTATGCAATCGCGGGCAGAAAAAGAAAAACACCAGCGGAGATTGCAACAAGAAGGTGGCAAGCGGTACTGGGAGAAGCAATCCAAGATGCAGAGGAGCAGTTTGGCAGGCTGTGGGAAGTGCTCAGCACACTCCCAAATGGGAAACAAACAAGTATGCTGTGGCTTCTATCCCTGTTGGTCACGCCGTCTGCGGTCTGGCTACAGAACAGAGGAATGACCGTCGACCTCCGCTGTAGACGGTGCAACTGGCCTTATGAGTCTACCCGTCATCTCTGGTGGGAATGTCCCGCCTCCAAAAGAATTTGGAAGTGGTGGGAATACCATTGGACGGAAATGGGAGGGGAGGGGGTGGACTGGGACGAAAAGTGGGTTTTGCTGGGATTCCTACCCCCGGACACGGAAATGAACATTGGGTGGGGGTATGTGGCACATGCTATCAGAGGAGTGATCTGTGAAATAATTTGGACGGACAGAAATAGGGCCAGGTTCCAAAACAGACCGATGTCGGATGCGGAAATTAAGTGCAAGATCAAGTACGGGGTAAGACTGGCAATCCGGGTCGACTGGAGGAGAAGGGTGCACAGTGGAAGTGGCAACAGAAGGCAATTAAACTGGTTCCTGAGGACGTGGGGACGGAAAAACCAACTGGCAGCGGTACACTCCACCAAAGGACTGGTGCTTTCAAAATGGATAGAGAACAAAATGGGGAGGGTGACGGTTGGAGAAGGAGCTTAGTTAGGGAGTGCTGAACAACCAGGACACTCGGTTGTAGTAGCGCCGCAGTGGGCGATGTTGGAGAGGGTCAAGGATAGGTGGACCTCGGTCCATTGGGCCGTGGTAGTCCCAAGCGGTCGCCTTTAGGCCGGATAGAGGTAGGGGTAGGTAGGGACGGTAGTGTAATGTTAGGTGTTAGAAAGAGAGGTTTTGCGAGTAATTTGAAGGTGTTAGTTTCTCTTTATGCAGGAATTGATTGAAGTAACGTGAGGAAAATTGAGGAATTGCTAACCGGCTGATGCTGCCGGGATAACTCCCGGTTGAATTGTGAGGTCCCCGGCCTCGAACATTTGATTTTGGTAATGAATGATTAATTTGTTGTTGAAAAGAAATAAAAATAAAATTAGCATGGCCCCTGCGCAAGGATGACACGCATAAATCGAGAAATGGTCCAAATCTGTCTGCGGGTAGACTCACTAGGACTCTCGTGGATGAATGTGACCGCTTTTCCGGCCCTGTGAGACTGGGCCACTATTCAGCTTTCCCGGCTAACGGCCGTCGACACTCGTGATCCTTTATGCCCGTCGAATCGTTGGCGCCCAGATTCGCCTCCGCGGCCGTGAAAGGCAGTTTAACGAGCCTTCGTGTCTCGCCGCACGGCACACGAAACGAAACCGAAACGAGTGCATCTGCCCACCGAATGTGGCAAAATACACTCGTCACTATTTATAGCAA